CAAAGAGATTTTGTGTATGTAAATCATGCCTCCCTTCTCTGCAAATCATTTAGAAATTTAATTTTTTTGCCTCTAAATTACATTTTCCATTATATTTATTAATGGGTGTAATCTTAATGCAAAAATTCGTTTTACATAATATAAAAACCCTATTGTATTGAATGAAAAATCTTTTTTTTTCTTGTAAAATATTTTGATTACATTTTCCATTGAAAAATGAAATATAATTACTATTTTCTCTTTCATTTAATGATTTTCCATTGAATAGATAATATCATTAGCGGTCCGTCGGGCGAAAGATCGAGAAAGTCGTCAAAATCATCGATAGTTTCCCAACATCTGACAGAAAGCGTCGGACTATTGAACAATAACTTAGAGGCCAAACACCATTCGGGACATGAAAGGGGCCGAACGGCCAGACGATACTCAAAGGGTTACTTAGTATCGTTGGTATCCATCTGTTCGGTGATGTTCTGCTTCTATGAAGGCATGGAAAACATTAACTTTGAATATTTGTCCACATTTTACTACAACACTGAACTCAATCTCACGAAACAGACATCGGATCTGATCGCGTCCTCCATGTCCGCCGCGTACACCGTAAACACACCAATAATACTATCATTTAATGTATAATTAATCTCAATATTCATTGTGTCGACAGATTGGTCGAGGAGTTGGCATTTTCCTGGCCATCAGAGTGCAGCCAAAATATTTCCTATACTTAGATCTAGTGTTAATAGCGTCGGGAAACGCCATACTATACGTGTTTAGCAACACATCCGAAGTGATGGTATACTTTGGCACAATAGTGTTGGGGTTCGGCTTTTCCACAGTATTTCCCTGTGTGTTCACATATATGGAGCTATTCATACCCATGACAGACATGGTCTGCGGTATAATCACGGTCTCGGGCGCCCTCATAGCCATCATAGATCCCATAATAGTGGGCCGATTCATAACAGATGCCCCGTATATACTACTCTACCTAAATATCGGGAGCACTGTTTTGGTGGTCATTGCTTTCCTAACCATTGAAACCATTACTTACACAAAGAGACGACAGGATAGACTCGCACTCCAGACCTCATACAATACCTTTGAGTGATTGATCGACTCTCTAGTGATAATCTGTGATCCAATGATTGTTTTTTATAATTAATTAATTAAATAAATAAATTGTTTTTAATTTTAAATTATTTCCTTACAAATAAATAAATTTGTCGTATAATTATAATATACAATATAATTTACATTCATGCAAAATCTCATCGGATTGAGTAGTTTTTGTTCGGTTGAGTGTACAAACACCACAACTTATGGTAATTCATCAATTAGTTTATGTTTGTTTATAAAAGTTAATTAAAAGTAATAAATAAAAAAAAAACAGTTTTCAAAAACATGAGTTAAAAGGATGAGTGAAAATCAGAACTGAGAGCTCGGACTAGATTTGAGACAATTTTTGGTGGATTTAGATCACAATTATAGACAAATACAACACATCTATATATGAATAATAAACAGCTCAACAATCAGCTAATCATAACAGCGGT